CCCCCCCCCCCCACAAAAACAAACAAAAAAAAATCTTTTTAACTTTTAGTGATCGACTTTTTAGTTGATAAAACCTTCTCTACATAGTCATTTATCTAAATAGTTGTCTGTAATGTTTGAGCAGGCTGTATTTAATGCTGGATTAATAGAACCTCTACACACACTGGCTACAACTAAAAAAATGGGTATTGCTGCTGCTGCACTTTCAATTGCAATTATCTGAACCAGTGACATTGCTTACACCAAGTATGTAACCTCTTTTTCTGGGTAAATCATCTCTCTTGTATACTAATTATTTTACTAAATCTGATGTTTTTTTTTTCCTCATGCTTTTGGCTTTAGAGACTTGGTGGATTGCTGCATAGATCCTCTGTGTGATTATCTTGGCTTCTCTGGTGGCACCATCAGTTTAAAAGCAGTAGAAAGTATATTGAAGTTTGGAAAGCGTATTGAAGAGGAAGATGGCGACACTGGTGGTTATACTAAGCGGATCGAAGAGGCTGGGGGTTTGGAAAAGCTTGAATACCTATCTACTGCTGAAATTCGATATGAGGTTGTTCCAATATTGGGTACATATATATTGGCCGTCACTAGGACGTTATGCTGAGGTGACTTTGACACATACTTTTCATCTTCATACTTTCCATCTTCATATGACTTAACCTTTTCCTGACATACTTTCCATCTTCATATGACTTAACCTTTTCCTGACATACTTTCCATCTTCATATGATAGAGATTGCGTATAATGGAAGTTTGGAGCTCTGACGACGAAAAATGGGAGGACCCAATGTATTAGTGATGTCTTAAGTGATTAACCTGTTGTTGACATATTTTCCATCTTTATATGACAGAGATGGCGTAAAATGAAAAGGGATAACTTTTTGACAAATTTCTCCATTATTATATTTATACATTTCTACTTCTGCCTGTTATAAATGAAAATGAAAACTAGTCACCTCATGATAAACATGCTTACCAGCTACCCTTGGAATTTAAATTGTTTGTTTTGTGCTCTAAGGATTCGTATTGTTGCAGCATTCATGTGTGTACTTTGGCTTGAATGGACAAAAAACTCAATTTATTTGCATTTAATGCCTTTCGTCTTCCAGCCTTGGGGTCTGTTTTTGTGCTACTTTATCTTTGTATTGCTGTAGTTTCTCTTAGTTTTCCTTAGAAGAATTATGTCAAATAGCCATTCATCCAACCGCTTAAATTAAAAAATAATCGGCGAAGGTATCCGCTGAGCCCGTTTTGATAAATCCTTGCGGCCTACAGTGCCACAGACACCAAGGCATGCTTGCCATGCGCTGTTATGATTAGTTAATCTGCTACCCGCTCTGTTTGAATTTGTGTGACAATTTGAATCTGAATGGAGTAAGAAAAACATGAAGACTGGTAAAACTTGTGGCTCTAAACATGTCATTTATGTGGTTATCATAGCTTTTCGTTGTGAGAAAAATAAAAAGTATAAAGTTAATTATTTTTAAATTTAAAAGAGTGTCATTCTTTTTAGAATGAGCTAAAAAGAAATATCACATAAGTCGGGAAGAAGGGAATTCTTTTGAACCATTAAAACAAAAAAAACTCTTTTCTATTAATTGCAAGGAAATTTAGCTGTGTTCCAGGGATATTTTAGTTTTACCATAAATTGGCTTTTTCTTTTTTATGTAAGCATATTTTGAACTGGTTATGACACATAGTGTAGTGTAAGGACAAGATAGGAAAGTTTGAATCGAACCAGACTAGCTGATTTGGCACATATGGCTAGGATGCTATTTATCTTTTTTTACTTTTTCCCATAATTTATTTTCATTTAAAACTTAGTAAATGATTAAAAGTCTAAAAGTCACGTCTAATTGAAACCTAACGTTACGGCCGTTCCCCTAATTTTGGAAAACCCAAATGGCTCATTAACTTGGCCGTTCTCTAGCCAATGTTTGCTATATTGGTTGAAAATATGTGCTTATTTTGCTTAGTTTTATCATGTGCACGATAATTTAGTTATTATTGCCTAATATTATTCGTTTTTTACTTTTTTTTTTTATTAGTTTTACTATGTTTTGATACTTTTACTTCTGCAATATTGGGGATACATATTGGCCGTCACTACGACATTATGCTAAGGTGACTTGACATACTTTTCATCTTCATACTTTCCATCTTCATATGACTTAACCTTTTCTTGACATACTTTCCATCTTCACATGACAGAGATTGCGTATAATGAAAGATTGGAGCTCTAACGACGAAAAATGGGAGGACCCAATGTATTAGTGATGTCTTAAGGGATTAACCTGTTCTTGACATATTTTCTATCTTTATATGACAGAGATGGCATAAAATGGAAAGGGATAATAACTTCTTGACAAATTTCTCCGTTATTATATTTATACATTTTTACGCCTAAGCTAGTCTGATGGTCTATCGAAAACAGTCTCTCTGTCTTTAGGGTAGGGGTAAGGTCAGTGTACACACTAGAGGTGACAAACGGGCGGGTCGAGTCGAATACTGGACGAGTCGAAAACGGGTAATATAAAAATGGATAAATTATCTGGCCCGATCCATATTTAATACGGGTAGACAATGGGTTAACCAGCGGATAATACGTTATCTATATTACCTATGACTTCTTGAATATGATCACTTTTGGGAGAATTTTTAGTCTCCCTAACTTGAGGAACCCCAATTTGCGTCTTTACAAATATAAAAGTTAAGCCCATTAGTTATTCATTTTCTAACTGGATAATATGATTCTTATCCATATTTGACCCATTTTTAAAAAGTTCATTATCCAACTCATTTTTTAGCTAATAATATGGATGAATAACTATTTTTTTCCTAATCCATTTGGTCACCATAGTACACACTATTCTCCCCTGACCTTACTTGTGGAATTATACTGGGTTGTTATTATGCACCTAAGCTAGTCCGAACATTACTGTCATAGAAACAAAAACTAATAAGAAACTTATGGAATCTCAAATGAAATTAAGAGCCCGTTTGGATTGGCTTAAAAAAAGTATCTTTTCAATAGAAATAGCTTTTAGGCCAAAAAGCAATAAGTTCGGGTTGCCCAACTTATTGCTTTTGACTTGTTTTAAGCAGTTTTAAACTTATTTAAAGTACTTTATAGTTTTGTCAAACACTGAAAAAAGCTAAAAAAAACTTAAAAGCTGATTTGACAGCTTAAAAGCGAACCCAAACACCCTCTAAATCAGCCTTCCAGAATCAGATGACGGCAGAAGAAATGGTTCAACAATCCAAAACGAAGTATAATTAGACTAATTCAATTTTAATTTCCTAAACCGTCTCTCCATTGTTGGAATTCATTTTGGACAATATTTATAAATTATAACTCTATCTATATTGTCTGAACAGGTGGAAAACAGTAGACTGTCTTTTAGTGCCTTAAACGTTCCTTCATCGAAATCTTTGAAAGTTTCTAGAAGATTTATTTATGGAATCAGCTTATTTTAAAAAGAATTTTAAAAAAAATATACTTTTCTTTGTCTAATCAATTTAAAATCACTTTTCAGCAGCAATTAAGATTTTACCAAGCTTTTAAAAAATAATTTTAAACATGTTTTTCTCAAAAATACTTTTAAAAAAAATATTTTTGGGAAAGTTACTATCACTTTTTTTCCTTCGAAAAAGGTTGATCAAATACTTTTAACTTTGTATAAAGATACTTTTTGCCAAAAAGAAACACGTTCAATATTAATCTATTAAGTTACAAAAAGAGTAAAACTTTGACAATAAAATATGAACCCAATTAATTGGATTATTTTATGTAGGCCCCAGCGCACAATATTTTATTTTCAGATACAAGTTCAAAGCATATACCTTCACATCATTGCTGAGTTAAAAGAGTAAAGGAAAAAACATCTAGATAATGAGCCACAAATGCCACGAGAAAAACATTCTTTCACACTATTACCTCCATTATTACCATTTCTGGACAATTTTGAATAAAAGATCTCGACCGTAAATGTAATTAGCCAAAGTTACTTGAAATAATTTGATCATATTCTACGAAAAACACCAATCTATAAGCGCAACAATGACAAAAATATTTTGTGGTGCCATATGATACCAATTTGTGAAAAAAATTCACTAAACATATAAATAATAGTTTCTAAAAAATCATATATATATACATACACATGCAGGAACGAAGTTAAAAGAAGGTAAGGAGGTTCAATTGAATTCCCTACCGAAAATTTGAACGACAAATGGGGCACAAAGTAACTCTTTTGGATTTATATGAAGTATTAAATCTCCTTTGATATATGATAGAATATCTATATTCAGTATTATAAGAGAATATAAGAAAACTAAAGTATGTTTAGAACTTTGTATGTCTAAATTCAGTATTTTTAGTTGTTTACGTTAGTATAACAGTAACTATAAGATTTGACATTCTAACTTATTTTTTTCGAGATACATTTCTAATTTTAGAAACTCGTTTTCTTAACAAATTAATACATCCAATAAATGAAATCAAATATTGGATATTCATAAAATCATTTTGTTAAGGATTGAGGTCTGATAATTGATCTTGACAATCAATATCTATATCTATATATTATTAAAAAGAGAGGAAAAAGCCCCCTCCTTAAGTCAAGTGACATCCTAGAAAAAAGCCGCATGACATAAGTAGTTAATAATTAGTTATTTAGCTAATAATTAGTTATTGGTTATTATTTTTAAATTTAAATATCTATAAAATATTTTATAATCAAAGAAAATTAAAAAAAAACTGTACATTCAAGTTGGATTTTTTAAATTAAAATATTTTATAATAAAAAACCAAAATTAAAAAAAATTGTCAATTCAAGTTGGGGTTTTTAAATTATTTTAAAATAAAAAATTAAAATTACAAAAATATAAAATAATGGCAATTTAAAATTTCTTTTTTTAATAATTTTTATTTTTCTTTTAAAAAATAAAAAGTTTATTTATTCAAAAAATATTATTGAGTAGAATAAAATATAAAATAAAAAAATATATCTTCTATTATATTATAAAAATAAAGTAGCATAAAAAAATTTAAATAAAGTAATATGCTAATAAAAGTTTCTATTAACAATGAAATAATACTAAATATTGGACAATATAATAAAGAAAAATACAAAAAAAAAGTTATTGATGCCTATATAAGCCTCATTAATTTGGTAGAACAATAGGATAAAATTTAAAATAAAACATATATTTCAAGAGTAATAAATATATATCTTCTAATATATTTCAAAAAAAATGGTAGACAAAAATATTAAACAAAGTAATATGCTAATAAAAGTTTCTATTAACAATGAAATAATACTAAATATTGGACAATATAATAAAGAAAAATACAAAAAAAAAGTTATTGATGCCTATATAAGCCTCATTAATTTGATAGAACAATAGGATAAAATTTAAAATAAAACATATATTTCAAGAGTAATAAATATATATCTTCTAATATATTTCAAAAAAAATGGTAGACAAAAATATTAAACAAAGTAATATGCTAATAAAAATAAAAATTTCTATTAACAATGGAATTATATTAAATATTGGATAATATAATAAAAAAATACATACCGAAAAAGTTATCCGATGACTTTATAAATTTCTTTAATTTAATAGAGATTTTATTCATTAAAATTTAGATAATATTATTAACAACAACAAATAAAAAAATAAAAAAGTTATCCAATGACTATATAAATTCCTTTAATTTAATAAAAATTTTATTCATTAANTTCTCTTATATTACAAAAAGAAAGCAAGTAGACAAAAATATTAAACAAAGTAATATGCTAATAAAAAATTCTATTAACAATGTAAAAATACTATACATTGAATAATAGAATAAAAAAAAATATAGAACAAAAAAGTTATTCAATGACTATATAAGTCCCTTTAATTTAATTGCGATTTTATTATTGGGTATATCACATTGACAAACTACTACTACTACTATACTATTATTATTATTATTATTATTATTATTATTATTATTATTATTATTATTATTATTATTATTATTATTATTATTATGATGAAAGTCCAATGACGAACGTGTGTTCACCTTATATTCCGCCTCGTGTCACTTTCCGCTCGTGCCATGTGTCAAACTATGTCCTTATCTGTATGCAGTGTTCACGCAAGGTTTTAAGTTTTAAGGGTCGTTTGGTAGGAGGTATTAGAAAAAATATTGCAAGCATTAGTTCTGTGCATTACTAATACATTCTTTGGTACATTTTTTTAACCTGTGTAAAACTAATACTTGTTATACATCATACTTGGTATTATCCTATGTATAAGCAATGCATAGAAAATCATGATATTAGTAATGCAAGGGTTTTTAATACTTTGCATAAATATAGTTAAAGACCTAACTGCCCCCTCAAATCCCTAAAAACCCATCTCAATTACTTTCCCCCATATTATTAGCAAGCAGACTTCTCTATGTACGCTTTGGCCATAGAAAAGGCCAAACTTGTTATAGCTTGATACTTTGATAGTACTACTTTATCTTTTTGCATTATTATTTTTGTACTGATCCATTTAAGTTAATGGATCACTTAAAAGAGCCTCTGCCTTTTGTTCGAGGTAGATGTTACCTCTCAATGTTGAAAGAATTTTGTTATCTATGTAGTTAATTGTTATAGCTAAAGTTGAAAATTGTGGAGTGTACTTTTGTAAACATCCCTAATTTTTTAAAAATTATGCAATGCTTTAATACACCAAATCAACCAGCGGATAAAAAATAATCTCATTATAACTAATGTCAGCATTACTAATACACTCTATTAAGCACTATTCTTATACCACCTACCAAACGACCCCTAAGATATTTGAAAAAATTATAAATTCATATACGCTAATGCTTTGTCCTGCAACTTGTCTTCTCATACCAAGAAAAAATCTCAGTTTCCTTAAGCAATTTTCTTGAATTCTTAAACCAACCCATTTCAATTTTGTGTCTACTCCTCCGATTCAAATAGTTATTTCCAATTCTATTGTTTCCGCTAACAGCTTGTTTGGATTATCGTTACGTACTGTATTGTATCGTATTGTTACTTTAAATATAATATTTATTTTGGTTGTTACTTAAATTTTATAGTATCGTATCGTTAAATCCGTCGTTACGTAACGGCGAAATGTCCCACTTTATGTAACAACCGATTTGGTGTGGTTGCATCGTTATCTTGTCTTTTTCTCTCATCTCACTCTTCACTATTATTAAATAATTTTATTTTATCATGTACCCTACCTTTTTATATAATAAATTTATCACGTATC